GCATTCGAATTTTTTTATCTACACATACAAGTAAGCGAGATGCGCCCATTCAGCCAAACTATTTTTATTGGAGGGAAAGTAGTCTTTTCGTGCAAAAAGTAATAAAAAGTGCTCTCTTAAGTAAAATAAAAACGTAGAAATCATTGAAACTGCACATTCTTATTAGCCCGAGGAGTTTTTGATATTAATTTTTTTTTTAATTGATTTCCTTGTGATCCCTAAAAAAACTATTTAGTTCTCTAGATAAAAATAATACAAGGAAGAAATATCCAGGCAACTTTATTTTGATGTGAAATAGCATAAACCACTTAGTAAAAAATCCAGATATCCCTGCTTGAGAAAGATAAAAAAAATCAAGCTTAAAGACATTTTTATTTAGGCGTTTTCACAATTATGCGGAAAATCGGTTGTCATTAAAACTACCCTTAATGTTAACAGTGATCTCACATCAGTTTTTCATGCTTTGAATCAGAATCTTGCTGCAGGATACTCCCTAAATCCTCCTAAGATCGCAACGTTCGCAACGTATGCAGGAAAAGGCTTTAAATCACATCTTTAGAACATGTCCTCTGTAGGATTTAGGTGTGGTGATTGCACAGGTCAGTCAAGGATCGTCGTGCCTCTGCAGCTAGTTGGATGTCACTAGCACTGCATGTGGCATTGTCCCATAAATTCTTGGCTCAATTATAGTCAATGGATGTATACTATTAGTATCAGGTTAGGGTATTTTCAGCAGTCACGGTGTTTCTGATCCGAACGAAGTCCCTTCTGCCACAAATACGAATTCTCTTCGAAGACATAATATTCCCGCGGTGGTATGGATAGGATTCCGGGGGGTGCTGCTTATCCGGCCTCAAATCAGGATTTCCTGTGTTGTGGATACCAGAAACTAACTTCAATATAATATTAAATTGATATAAGTTTAAATATATACATATATACTTAGTCTGGCCATAAATACTGTTACAATTAAAAATAAACAAAATATTACATTTGAATTTAGAATCTGTCATTTTTATATGATTGCTCATTGAGTTTTCTCATTTTGGCGCCAATACATTGTACAATATTTTGCGATATTAAAATAGAGTGAGGTGATAAAGAGAACCAAATCGCTGTGATTGCATTACACAAAGACTCTCCATACGCTTGGTATTAGTAAAATGTTTGTGTGCCGGGCTATTAATAGGTGTAATGAGACCTCCTCTGTTTGTGACAGAAAAAGATCTGGCCGTCCACGTAGTATTCGTACGAAAAAGGTGGTCAAAGCAGTAAGGGAAAGAATTCGAAGAAATCCTGTCCGAAAGCAAAAGATTTTATCTCGGGAGATGAATATAGCACCTAGAACCATATCGCGTATTTTAAAAGATGACTTAGGACTTGCAGCCTATAAGAGACGTACTGGTCATTTCTTAACTGATAATTTAAAAGAGAATAGGGTGGTAAAATCGAAATAACTACTGAAGCGGTACGCAAAGGGAGGTCATAGAAAAATTTTGTTTACGGATGAGAAAATCTTTACAACTGAGCAACATTTTAACAAACAAAATGACCGTATTTATGCTCAAAGCTCTAAGGAAGCTTCCCAATTAGTCGACAGAGTGCAACGTGGGCACTATCCGACTTCAGTGATGGTTTGGTGGGGTATTCGCTATGAAGGAGTGACTGAGTCATACTTTTGTGAAAAAGGTATCAAAATAACGGCACAAGTCTATCAAGCCATTACCATTCTTGAGAAGGTAGTGAAGCCCCTTAACAACACCATGTTCAATAATTAAGAATGGTCCTTCCAGCAAGACTCGGTGCCAGGTCATAAAGCTCGGTCTACGCAGTCTTGGTTGGAAATGAACGTTTCGGACTTCATCAGAGCTGAAGACTGGCCGTCGACTAGTCCTGATCTTAATCCGCTGGATTATGATTAATGGTCAGTTTTAGAGAATACGGCTTGCTCTAAACGCCATGATAATTTAGAGTCCCTAAAACAATCCGTACGATTTGGGAGTGAAAATTTTTCCCATGGAAAGAGTGCGTGCTTCTATTGATAACTGGCCTCAACGTTTAAAAGACTGTATTGCAGCCAATGGAGACCACTTCGAATAAGCTTTTTATACTTTAAATTGTTTTATATTTACGTATTAAACTAACACACTGTAAAAGTAATAAATGTTATTTGCAATAGATTTTTTTTTGTTTTCCTTTGTAACAGTATTTATGGCCAGACTAAGTATCTAGATATATAATACGCACCCAGACAAAGCAAATAAACCTTTTCATTACACGAATGCTTACACGATGTAGGAATAGAACGGACGGCCCTCAGCGCAACAGTCAGGAGCGCCGTCTACTGCACCACCGAGTCAGAGAAAAATGTGGTAAAGAGACAAAAACGCATAAAAACTAAAGCATGTAATTTATTGTTATTTCACGTTAAATAAAATGCATATTAATTGAGTTGTTTAACTGAAACCGACATTACGTTTAATACTTATCAACCAAGTGATTCCTCTATGGTTTAACTGTATCATCTATTTTTGTACATAGAATACCGGTAAAATGGGGCGATTAGGGACAAATTCCAACTTTATGACCAATTTTAAGGTAGTTGTTGATGTATATAATGCTATATCAGGATCGAAATGATTGAGTCTTGGGGGCATCTTTGTTGTCCAATTTAAAACTATGCAACTAACATTCCAGTTTAAGCAAAAAAAGCAAAAATAGGTGTAATCCCTATTTACCCGAAAATTGCGGTTAATTGGGACGAAATGAGAAATTTGCTAGGGTTGCCACTACTTGGTTTTAATTTATTTATTTATTTAGTTGCACCAACAAAGTGATCATCAACTTGATTACATTTATTTACTTATGATTAATTTATATTTACTTGGGAAATGATCCGCGACAGATTTGTCCTGTAAGTTGTGATACAATTAAAAAAAAAAACTATTTCATCACTTAAAATTAGTTCAGCGTAATCGGACAACTCCGAATGAACATTGACGGAGACCATGCTACCGTGGACATTATTGTAGTCCCAAAGGAGAGTAAGCTTTCTTATAAACGGTTTATATTTCTTCGTTCTTGGTAAGTACTTAGGGGCTGATATTTTTATCTGGGTTAAGAGATTAGGTGTGTTGGTTATTCCATGGATTAATCAGATGAATACCCCCACTCTGAACAAATATTAAATATTTTACGATGTATTACTTAGACATTTTTGTCCACCTTGAGATTTCATTGTTCTTGTTAGATGTCTGGGCAAAATCGACTTACTTATATTAAATTGCTTAGCTATTTCAACTAAAAACTTATTCCCAATTTCAAAGGCTTCTATTGCTGTTTTTAATATTAAGGGATCATATCTCTTTTAAGGCTTTGCACTCTTTGATACGTACACGCGAGGCATTATCTAAAAATAGAAAACAATACGTAACTGATAATATAAGTATTTACCAAACAATAAAATAACACATTGATAATTTTGAATAAAAGTTCTAGACAAAAACATCATGAATAAACCAGATTTTTACCAACAAATTTAAAAAATATTGTTATAACTACATCGACAACCCTACAAACCTGTACCTATTTATACTTAGCTCGTTTCCATTTCACGTATTCTCGTCCCAATTGACCCCTTTTTCGTTGTTATTTGTACCTAAGACGTCCCCAATATCCCCAAAAACAACAGATTTTTACATGTATTTTTATTTTATCAAATACATTAAAACCAATAACAACTGAGACTTACCTTTAATATATATGATGGCTCAAACACTAAATAACGTTTATAAATCACAGTCGTCTTCTATTAATATCAAATAAATAAAAGAGAGCAAAGTTTCTAGCACCAAAATAATGACCACCACAGGAAGTTAATTTGAAACGCGATTTTTTATAAGCTAGCAGCTATTATCATGCATATTCAGAGTTGTTTTGTGAACTTTCAACATTCTACTATTAAACTAGAAAAAATGTAAGATTTTGCAACGAATATAAAACTAATATTGAGCGTCGAAAGATTTTCCCGGTTTTTTCCCGATTCGCCTCTCAATCCCTAATCGCCCCATTTTACGGTACTTGATAGTATATAGAATCTAGGGACTTTTTGGCGGGAACGCGAGAAGTGAAGTTGTGTGATTTGTTTTATTTTGTCTATTTAATGTTTCTTCAAGTTTAAATGTGTAATAACAGTGGTTTATTAGCTGTTTAATATCTATGAAAGTGCACAAATGTGGGAAAATGAAACAAAGCCGCTGGACGTAACTTCTCGGGATCCTCCAAAAAGTCCACTGAAAAAATTTCAGTAAATGACCACCATTTTACTGAGATTATATTATATTTCATTCCACATCATCTCATCTCATTTCTTTTAATGTCATCCCAGTTGATTAATTTCTCAAATTAATCATCTTCATTTCACTCCATATTATCATTTTTCATAAAAATATCCCATATCATATCATCTCATCTCATTTCAATTTATTCCATTTCATTCCATGCCATGCCATGTTTCATATTAAATTAATCAGCTTCATTTCATAATATCATATTTCATAAAAAAAAAAAAAGTTATATAGTTCTCAGGATTCGATTTTCACTTGGCTATTTTGTTCCCACATCAGACATGTTAAATATCTTTATCTTCGAAAACGTGTATGCTTTAAATAATAATAACGAAAGTGAATATAATTGTAATAACTGCTTAGAGATGGTTGAAGTTATGGGAGAGCTTGATTAAAAAATAAAAGAATCCTTTTGGTTTTTATTTCTTCTTTGAAATAAGTAAAAACTGATTTGGGGTCTTTTTTCTTCAAAAAGTTAATTTTCGGGGGCTTTTCGAAAAAAGTTGGGGGAAATTGACACGGTCATCTGGCAGCACTGCATAGATAATGCACTTACTTGCCAATGGACTTTGTATCCGGCTAATAAATAAATTAAAAAAAAAAGCACTTACTATTAGTCTATAAGGTCTTGTAACCATAGGCCGTAAATAAATTTAAAAAAAAATGCACTTACTATAAAAAAAGAGATGAGTTTAGAGTGATGATTGCTATTTTATTTATATTAATTAACCTATCTCTGAATATAACAGCTTCATTAAACGCTGTGGCTGTTATTTCTTCTAATTACTCTAACGAAACTGTTGATGATTACGGTTAGTTTAAATGTAATATTATTTGCTTACCACGTTGCAAAATGAATGCCCTCAAGAATTATTTACTCCACTACGTTAGTGTTTGGTAAACCAACTAAAAATAAGCCCTTAATAAGTAGACATTACATGTCTCTTAATATTTCAGATAAAATATTATGTCGTGGTTGCGGTATTGATCTCGCTTCATCACAGAATATCATTTCTAAGTTGAGCCCTTCTTCACAGCAGTCATTTCTTGATACGTTGTTTAATACAGAAAATGTCTTAATTCAAATACTCCTAAGTGAATTCTTCTTTAATTTTCCTGTTATAACCACTACACATTCAAGTTGTGTTGGCGTTGGGGAGGTAAATTTTATTATTTTGTAGTTGTATTTTTTTAAACTAATGCATCTCCTTGAAATATAAATTTAATAAATTTCAGTGGGAGGACAGTGAAAATTGGTTTCCTGATTATCAGTGGAAGCCTTGTGTTTGTTCAGAATGCGGAACCTACGTTGGTTGGGTTTTTAAGCCTATTGATTTAGACATAAGTGATCCAGATACATTTTTTGTTCTTATTCTGACAAACATAATCAGTGAAACTTGTAAATATATATTTTTTTGTTATATTTGTGGGTTAATTTTTTGTGGTTTTGTAAGATTATGTGCTGTCCATGTGCATGTTAAAATGTAGGATTGTTTGTCTGTTTGAAATCATTTGGTTTATACTATCAAAATATCATATATTTTCATTGGAGTAATCAAATGGAGCAGCATGGAGTGATTCCAGTGTTCATGCTCTTAGATACGAAACTGAGTGACGCTTTTCACTGTGCTACTGATTGATATAAGTGGCTACATATTACAAGAGAATTTTATTTAATTTTTTTTTGGACATAATTTTTTTTAAGCATGTGTGTTTAGAAGAAAGTCAAAGAAAAGAGAGGAATTCGTGAAGTGTATTAGGTGTTATAAATAAAATGCAATTAAAAGTTAAGAAGTTTATTTAAAAAAATATACTTCAAATTAAAAATTATGTGTCACTGTCGTCACTATCATTTTGTAATAGTGCTACCCCTTGCTTTAAATTTATGGTAGCACCTGATCTGGTGGAAGGTGTTGGCTCCTCATCCTCACAATTTTTACACAATTTTACATCCACAACTTTAGTAGACGCAAGTGTAATCGGGAGCGAACGGAACGTAGACGCGGTGCGGGAGGCAAGGGTCGACTGACGCACCAATCGCGCGCTCGGAACGTACTTCCCCACGTCCCGCTTGACAACCCAAGAGACCTTAAAAACGACTTATGCGAATCTAACGACTCTTGCCAAGTTACGTGCCGTAAACACTGACTTGATTTGAAGAAAATAATAATCATTTAAAGAATTGCATCTTTGACCTCATTTCTCCAGGTCAACGGCGACATTCACATTGTGTTCACTATAATGCCATATACTACATATTATATAAAGTATGTAACATAACAGTATATTGTGTGAAGCTGATTATTAATCAAAATTACAAAACTTATATAGAAAAAACAAAATCAGTGTTATGAGCAAACAAGACCAGTAACACTTATTGTTAAATGATGATGGCATTAAAATTTCAATGATTGACTGGACCATAATGCAAAAGAGAAGACCAAACTTTCGTCAAAGCTTTTCCTCCAATTAGACTGGATGGGAAAGACACATGACAGTGACTCTAAATAAAGGCACTCTTTGAACTCACACCTGCATTGACCACTTATGCAACGGCGGATCCAGGGGGGGGGTCATGGGGGTCATGACCCCCCTGAGCTAGTTCCAGGACTTGAACTAACTTGGACTAATTGAAGAACATCATGATTTATTTATTATCTATTGTTATCAAAATGAAATTATAAGTCTTTAACTTGCCCACGACTATGTGACCCCCTCCTGGCGCCAAAGCTGGATCCGCCCTTGCACTTATGTCCACTTTATCCCCAAAAGGATAAGATTTCACAAGCTACAAACCTATCATGAAAGCTTCCTTGTTTTTCAAGATAAGTTATAAGCACTCCTTGGGTATTTTGAGGATCTGATCAGGTACGGACAATATGGTTTCTGTCATGGTCTCTCAGATATCGATCTGTTTATATACATTTTAACGGTAGGCAGCGGCTTGGCTCTGCCCCTGGCATTACTGACGTCCATGAGCGACGGTAACCACTCACCATCAGGTGGGCCATATGTTCGTCTGCCTATAGGGCAACAAAAAAAAAACATAATTTAGTAGTGGGCAGAAACCTTATACAGCACAAACATTGCTCCCATTGTGATATGTTGAGGGCCTTCAACACGGTTTTACATAGGTCACCTCTGTCAAAGAGACCAGCTATGGAATTTCCGAGGAGCTTTATAAATAGATCAGCTCATGATGTGAACTGTAGAATGTGAATTAAAATAGATTGTAGAGATATTCTGCTTGGGTAAGGCTTTCATACAATTATCATTGTACCAGCAGCAACTGAGACTTGTTACTATATAAAACCAGTTGGCTTCTGATCTGTGCTAAAGTAAAAAGATATACTTCAACAATAGTAATAAAAACTATTCATTATGAACAGATTCTGATAGTTTTTCATAAGAAGTCTACTGGTCTTTTTACTGGTGGTAGACCATCTTTTGGGTTGGCACAGGTAGGTACGGGTAGGTACCACCGCCCTGCCTATCTCTACCGTGAACAAGTAACGCGTTTCGGTTTGAAGGGTGAGGCAGCCATTGCACTATAAAATCTGAGAACTTAGAATTTATGTCTCGAGGTAGGGGGCGGCATTTACGTCGTAGGTGTCTGGGTTTCGGTAACCACTTAACACCAGGTGGGCTGTGAGCCCGTCCACCCAACTAAGTATTAAAAAATAAAATCTATGAAGCTACAAACTTTTCTCATTGGTCTCAACAAAAGCTTCTCAACCAACTGTTGTGATTGTCTTTCTGTAAAAAAGCATGTGTTTATTCTATTCATAAAAGTGTGCACCTTCTAAACTGGGATTTAATTTTCTCATCTTTCCTTTAAGTATCTTATGTTGGTTTTTTGTATTTCAGTTCTTGATTCCACAATAATATATCCTAAATAAATAAATAAGCAATGGCATCCGAAACCTTATCTGAAGCTGACAAACAATTTCTAGAAACATGTGAAGAAGAGTTAAAAGATAGATATACAGAAAATGATGAAGAATTTATGAAAGTATTTAATGCAGAGCCTTCCGTTCCTCCGATCGTGGATCCGTGGTGGGTACCAAATTCCAGAAGGAACGATCGCCGTCACAGCAGGCGTAGCCATCCGTATGAAAGACCTAGTAACAGGGGCGGAAGATATCAAAACAGAGATGATTCTGGACGTGGTTACAATGATTATAGCAGAGAGCAAGGAGGGTACGGCAGTCAACGAAGAAGATATTATTAGGATGAAGCTAAACCTGTAACATATACTTCTGTTTATAATGTGCCTTCTAAGAAGTATGGTCACAATAATTTTACTTTTAATGATGTTAATTAAATAAAACACAACTTATTTTTCAAAAGAATATAGTTTTAATTATTATGGCTTGATTTATATTTTAAACAACTTAGAATTACACAATAAATCACCAAGAAAGTAATGTCTACAGAGACCGCATTAGGGAAACCATAATATGTAATGGAATAAATAAAATTTTCGCTGCTACTCAACAAGTCTAATTATAAATTTCATAACAATAATTATGCCGATAAATTATTTAAATCTAATTTTATCTATGACGTTCCTGATGTATACATGAATGTTTGCAACATCTGACAACACTGCTGAGAGACCTGCACCTTGGATCAGACATTGTAGTTTGGAAAGTTATAATCTTGCGAGGTCTGTATTGACACATGAATAGGTACTAATTTAAAGCAACTTGCTGTTCGTATCTAAGTGGAGGCGCGTAGCTCGCAGTGCCTTAAGATACATTTTACGTCAATAAAATAATATTGTTGAATATCAGATTAATCTGAGTAATAAACATCATGCTAACGATTACTAAGCACAATGACGATTACATTTATAAAGCTTTCTAAGAGTAACTATTTTAAACTTCATTACTAATCATTTTATATATTATCGGCTACTTATTTCAAAATTGAAGCGCCACATCGAAATCAATCTATATTTCTGCCTCGATAAATTATATTTGAAAACTTTAAATTTATATATCGTCTAAAATTATAATCGAAAATATTTAAAAAAAAAACACATTATAATCGTATTGCAGATATAAATCAACTATAAGGTGGCATTAAATGAATTCAATTATTCAAATCACAGTACATATATAACACAATAGTTAATTGCAAACTAACTTAATATTATGACTCAGTACATTCAGGCACGATAACATAATACATTTTATTTCTACTACATATAAATTAAATAATGTTACATCTACGACGAAATCGAGTAATGATAATCATAGTTTGGTATGAGTCATTCGGCCCCCGTCTGCTCGGCAAGAATAGCTTGAAACATTGCAAATTCTCCGACACCAGTAGAGTAGCCTCTTACGAAAATACACAGCAACGAACTAAAATCATCGGGATTACGTTCACCTTCAATACTGACACACCGATGACTACTAAACGATAAACGTTAACTAAATACATATATGTATGCATAAAATTCTACATAACATACAATAATCATTTTTTGTTTGTTTGTTTGTTTGTTTGTTACAAATACGTTTTATTTACGTTACTTAACAACAATGCACAATATTTAATTGAATTGACACGTAAAGATCACCGGACCGCGGGGGAGCGCGCGCCGCTTCTCCAACTTACTCAACGACAATTGACTAGGATTAACGCGCCTGCGCAGTGCGGCGCTTGTATCCGGACACGCATCGATACTCGACGAGCACGTAAACATTGGTCAGGGCTCAGTACGCTTGACTAGGGACGCGTAGTCACTACAAAAATTCTGACTCAACTGCATCGAAAAGTCGTATAGACAGATTTGTAAAAGTGTCAAATTTTCGTAGCAAAGTTCATAAGATAATGTAAAGCTTGTTTCGTGTCGAGATTAGATGCGCGGGGGTGGCGCGGGCGGAGGCTGGCTCGGAGCCGCTCAGATGAAGGTCCAGCACTCCATGATCTTCACGATGAAGTCCTCTCGCGTCGTCAGCGGCTCGTTACCGTACGTCTTGCACCGTTGCGTGCGCCCCAAGTACAGGTCTCCGTCCAGCCACAGACCGAATTTTCCACTGGAAAATAAAACCATGTCATAAAAATATTGCTAGCTTTTCATGTTTATTTATAACTAGCTTTTGCCTGCGACTTCGTCCGCGTGAAATAGTTACTTTAGCGTATATCTACATACCTATAGCGTAAGCTCTCAAAAGGGAAAAATACCCCGATTTTGAAACATTCTTTATTGGTGCTCCGCTTGGTCCTATTGGTCTTAGCGTGATGTTATATAGCCTATAGCCTTCCTCAATAAACGAGCTATCTGACACTGAAATAATTTTTCAAATTGGACCAGTAGTTCCTGAGATTAGCGCGTTCAAACAAACAAACTCTTCAGCTTTTTAATATTTGTCATTATGCAGTATCGCTGACAACGCGTATGCAAAATTTTATGTATCAATTAAATTGTTAAAACGTAAACGCGTCACAAACAAACAAAGTATATATGAATAGATAATATATCGCACATACGGTGCGATAACGTCACTTATGCAAATTATGTAATTTTTCATGAGAAATGTTGGAAAATTTTTCTTATTATATAATTATTATATAGTTCTGCTAGGCTATAGAAGTTAAATGATAATATTTAAACTACAACTTTAAACTTCATCAGTAAAAGCAAACATCTCTCGTCTCACTAATCTCTATATATAAAAATGAATTGCTGTTCGTTAGTCTCGCTAAAACTCGAGAACGGCTGGACCGATTTGGCTAATTTTGGTCTTGAATTATTCGTGGAAGTCCAGGATAGGTTTAAAAGTGAGAAAATGTAAAAAAGCTCAGAATTATATAAAAACAAACAATTTTGTTTTTCCTTTGATGTGTCCCCTTGATGTGTCTTTTATTTATCGATTGAGGCACTACGAAGTCTGCCGGGTCAGCTAGTAACTATTAAAAATGTATTCTCTCATACTCAGTTCAGTGTTAACAAAAATTGCGTAAGTGACTATAGCATCGTATATGCGATATAGGTATATCCATATTGTACTACCGTAAATTCCCTAATGGGTGAACAATCAATCAATTGCAATGGTACTTACTCGCCAGCGCCGATCGATATATTGTCGTTGCTCCCACGAATAAAATACATGTTGTCTCCCGTCCATCCCCAATACTTGAATTTAGTTTTGACCGTTTGCGATTGTTCTGAAACAAAAAAAAATTATTAATTTTAAAATCTTTCAATTAATAATGAACCTTAAAACAGCATTGGATTGAGTTCAACGAACCGTTGTCTTCCTTTTTGGCGTCGCTTTGATTATCTGAATCTGTTTCTTTGTTCGCGTCGTCGGCGTGGACCGGGCCGTGAGCCCCCGGGCTCGTGTCTTCCTCAATCCTTTGAAACGAATAGAGGAACGATTCGCCAGTACCGTAGAAATGTTCAGACGGATGTAGAGCACACGACGTCATGGCCCCAAACACCTAGAAAATTAAAAGGTACTTTAACTACAAAATTAAAGGTAGGTACCTAATTTCCACATTTTTTTTATCGTATTTAATTAAATAAGGTGTCTTGAAAGCGTTTTCGCTGACGACAGATAAAACATACAACACTAAAATTCACGATGGAGAATTAATATTTTACTTATATGAAAATCAGCTGACACGAGAGTTCAATGACCTCATAGAAACGCGGGAGACGGCTATCGACTGCATCAGCGTAACATAAATGCGGATTATGAAATATTAGAATGTACTAGCCGTACTCGCCGGCTTCGCTGGGCATTTAAAATTAACATTATTATTTATTGTCATTATCATTAGGGAGTCCAACACTCATATAAATATTAGCCTATCCATTAAGTACATGTATTTTCTACATGTATACCAAGTTTCAAGTCAATCGGATGCAGGGTTCAGTAGTTATAATGGAACATCCGTAAAAACCACTGTAGATTAATATATTAGTATAGATTCATCACTAGTTAGAGAGTTGGTGCAATTCGTAAGCGCTCGACGCTCGTATTGTAAGCTCGACGCTCTTGTAGGCAGACGAGCATACGGTCCACCTGGAGATGGAGAGTGGTTACCGTCGCCCATGGACTTCAACAATGCCAGGGGCAGAGCCAAGCCGCTGCCTACCTTAGGTAGCACCATCTTACTTATATTTTGCCGTAAAACACGCATTCCGTCTCGAAAGATTGTTCACAGGTGTTATATAACACAATCCAAACTGACTTGATATCTCAAAGCCGGTGGCGGTAAGTACGTAATAAATGAATAAATAATAATATGAACCGGCTAAAATGTATACCAGTATGTATTAATTATATTCCGGCCAGAGTAGCAGCTCACGTTTCGATTTCGCTAATAGTATTTTTAGTACAAACGGTTATATAAAGTAAGTCGAAGTTAAAAATATCGTATAAAATTTCGTCACTCAATATTAAGTAGGTATGTTGTACTTTCGCTTATATTTCGAGAATCAAGCGATGCGAATTGCATTCGATCACATAGCTGTCGCATAGTGACGATAAAAAAAATATATGGCGTATTTTGTCGTCGTGGACTTTTTGGCGGGAAAGCGAGTGTGGAGCGAGGAATGAAGTTTTGTGATTTCAGGTTTAAATGTGTAATAACGGTGGTTTATTCACTGTTTAGTATCTGTGAAAGTCCATAAGTCCATAAATGTGGGAAAATAAAACAAACCCATTGGACGTAGCTTCTCGGGATCCTCCAAAAAGTCCACGGAAAAAGTCTCAGTAAATGACCACCATTTTACTGAGATTATATTTCATCCCATATCATCTCACCTCATTTTATTTCATGCCATGCCATGTTTCGTATTAATCAACTTCATTTCATTTCACTTCATATTATTATTTTTCATATATATTAAAAACTAGCTTTTGCCCGCGACTCATTTACGTAGAAAGTGAAAATATTTTGAAACATTCTTTATCGGTGCTCCACTTGAATCGGTTTCATGATGTTATATAGCCTATATCCTTCCTCAATAAATGGGCTATCTAACACTGAAATAATTTTTCAAATCGCAGTAGTTCCTGAGATTAGCGCGTTCAAACAAACAAAGTCTTTAGCTTTATAATATTAGTATAGATATATATCTATAAAATATAAGGCTGTATGGTATGATACCTTTGCCTTTCCAATTGGAACAACAAAACGACTACTACCTACTACTTTTAGTTTATTTTATGATGACGTATTATGATGTACCGTAAAATGGGGCGATTAGGGATTGAGAGGCGAATCGGGAAAAAACCGGGAAAATCTTTCGACACTCAATATTAGTTTTATATTCGTTGCAAAATCTTCCATTTTTTGTAGTTTAATAGTAGAATGTTGAAAGTTTACAAAACAACTCTGAATATGCATGATAATAGCTGCTAACTTATTCTATTATACTTAATCGCGTTTCAAATTAACTTTCTGTGGTGGTCATTATTTTAGTGCTAGAAACTTTGCTCTCTTTTATTTATTTGATAATAATAGAAGACGACTGTGATTTATAAACGTTATTTAGTGTTTGAACCATCATGTATATTAAAGGTAAGTCTCAGTTGATAATGGTTTTAATGTATTTGATAAAATAAAAATACATGTAAAAATCTGTTGTTTTTGGGGATATTGGGGACGTCTTAGGTACAAATAACAACGAAAAAGGGGTCAATTGGGATGAGAATACGTGAAATGAAAACGACCTAAGTATAAATAGGTACAGGTTTCTAGGGTTGTCTGTGTAGTTATAACAATATTTTTTAAATTTGTTGGTAAAAATTTGGTTTATTCATGATGTTTTGACTAGAACTTTTATTCAAAATTATCAATGTGTTATTTTATTGTTTGGTAAATATTTATATTATCAGTTACGTATTGTTTTCTATTTTTAGATATGACTCGCGTGTACGTATCAAAGAGTGCAAAGCCTTATAAGAGATATTATCCTTTAATATTAAAAACAGCAATTGGGCAATTGCCTAATTGGGAATAAGTCTTTAGTTGAAATAGCTAAGCAATTTAATATAAGTAAGTCGATTTTGCACAGACATGTAATAAGAACATAGAAATCTCAAGGTGGACAAAAATGTCTAAGTAATACATAATAAAATATTTAATATTTGTTCAGAGTGTCAGTTTTGCAATGTCTTTTATTGATGATCACTTTGTTGGTTCAACTAAATAAATAAATTAATTAAAACCAAGTAGCAAATTTCTCAACCCTAGCAAATTTCTCATTTCGTCCCAATTAACCGCAATTTCCGGGTAAATAGGGATTACACCTATTTTTTCTTTTTTTGCTTAAACTGGAATGCTAGTTGCACAGTTTTAAATTAAACAACAAAGATGCCCCCAAGACTCAATCATTTTGATCCTGATATAGCATTATATACATCAACAACTACCTTAAAATTGGTCATAAAGTTGGAATTTGTCCCTAATCGCCCCATTTTATCGGTATGTAGTGCGACTGACGTACGTTGTTATCGGTGTCCTGTATGACGAGGAGCACGGGGCTGTCGACGCGCTGCATCTTGCGGTACATGGAGGCGAGCGAGAACCCGTGCTGGCTGGTGCTGAACGCGAGCGACCACATGTACCCCTGAGCGCGAGCCGGTAGCACGCTGCACAACTTCTCCCTAAAAACAACAACAAACTAAGTTATTTTTCCTCGCTTCGGTTCCCTTAATGCTGAGGGTTGTGACCACCTCCTTGCAACAAGATCACTCTACGCCATTTGTTCCTTTTTTTATGGCTTAGATGCTCCCAGCCCACCTTGTGTTAAGTAGTTACAGGAGCTTATAGATATCAACAATATTAATGCCGCCACCCACCATGAGATATGAGTTATACCCGAGTTAGTTCTCAAACCGAAACGCATTAATGCTTCACGGCAGAAATAGGCATTGTTACAAACCTGATATCATTGTTACATTGCCACATTACAAAAAATACAATTGGGACTTCGACCTCATGTCTCAAAGTAGACGAACTGTGAGCCAGGATCAGTTGGTGTAACCGTCTGACAATTTTTTTTGCGATGAAATATATTATGCTTGCCACTTTGGAGGTTATCAATGGGATGACGGTCATTATTCCAAAGCGATTAAGATCGTCGAGTGTAGTACTAAGTTTAACACTAAGCGAGCAGTTCTTTCGTCTGCCCGTTTAAAAATAAATACGATACCCGGAACAGCGCCCCTAGCGGCAAACGTAGGAACGCTGTTCCAACTCCATACAAATTTGAGTTAACTTTTACGCGATCGAGAAGTTAAAAACTAGCACTAAGCAAACTGTAGTCGGTGACCACGAAAACTGTAAAACATTCGAAATGATATTGCACCTTTGGAATTGAAGTGGCTTAACTAATTTTGGAGTTTACTCCTTTAGAATCGATTTACATATATAGGCCCGGGGTATGAAAATTATGGGGACCAAAATCGTACTAGCATGTCACACGAAATGCGTTATGCGCCTGATTGCGCATGTCACACGAAATGCGTTATCGCAGGTGACGCCGGGCTGCTGCGCCGGCAGTCCGCCACAAAGCCTCGTACTGATCGCGCGTTTCTCTCATTATTGTATTTTCATATATTTGTTAGTCGTTTGTTTTGTGTCTCGTTAATTTGTTAATAATCTGTAGTGTATCGTGTTGTCGTAATATAGAACTATTTCTCGTATTGTTTCGTTTAATTTTTTATATCCAGTAAACTCCAGTCGTGCGTCGGAGCGGACACACACACTTTTTTTTTTTTAATAAAATGAGTTTTAAACTTCGAACGACCTATGAACATGTAGGTGTTCTCCTATAGTCTAGAAAAGGACAAACGTATTATTTGCGTCTCTTTTAAATCAAGCATTAAAGCAAGTATTATAATCGAAAAAGTAAAATATGATATTCAATAACATTTTTGGTAATGCGTTTCGATTTGAAGGGTGGGCGGGGCAGCCGTTGTAACTATACTGAGACCTTAGAACTTATATCTCAAGGTGGGTGGCGCATTATATTGTAGATATATATGGGCTCCAGTAACCACTTAACACCAGGTGGGCTGTGAGCTCGTCCACCCATCTAAGCAATAAAAAAATGCGAGATTGAACCGTAAAAGTTTCTTTAAATAGTTTTAATTGTGTATAACGACCCGAGAAAAACGAAGAAAATTTACCTGTGTTCCATGGTGAATATTTCCGTGGCGCCAATGAGGTCGGGCGGCAAGAACTCCATGTCGACGGAGGCCCCCGACGAGTACAGCGCGCGTCGGAGCTCATCGCTCATCGACAATACCTGCAAAACGACGCACAATAATAATATATTATACTAGCTGATCCGGCAGACTTCGTAGTGCCTCAATCGATAAGTCAAAAGACCTAAACTTTTGTATAAAATAAACTTAAAACAAACAAAAGGAATCCGTCCGACGGGGACACATCATATGAAAAACAAAATTGTTATTTTTATTTAATTCCGAGCATTTTCATATTTTTCTACTTTTTAAACCTTCTCTGGACTTCCACGAATAATTCAAGACCAAAATTAGCCAAATCGGGCCAGCCGTTCTCGAGTTTTAGCGAGCGTAACGAACAGCAATTCATTTTTATATATTATATAGATTAACAGAGGATTATATTAATAAAGCCTTTTTTTTATCACAATGCACGAATTTTAGACTGGTTTTATTTTTTATTAAACAATCCTCCAGATTAAGGATTAGATACATGCTAACGGATAATCCACGAACACAATTTTTCGTTATGTATTTTAAATATTTTTATCAAACATTTTATTATTCATACCTAGAGATTTTTTTAAAATAATTAATCATATTATGTAATTATTGTCTAGAGTAACAAAGTTATGAATCCATACACTGCAAGTATGTAATAATAAGCCTTTTACAAAAAGTGAATTCAAATTAAAGGGTCCTTGATTGTATAACATTCGACTTTTTCTAAAAATTCTTAATACAAATAACTATGTTGCGATAACCATTATTTTTGACGATAAAATATTTCGTAGTAAACGATACAAATCACGATTAGCATCTAATAGAATTTGATAAAATATCTATTAAGCATACGCATGTATGCGATAGACGAAAACGTGACTAGAATTGAATGTCTCAACATCGGTTTCCAGCCAGTCGCAAAAGAATATTTAATTAAGACATAGGTCGAGCGCAAGGTTACATCTTATTAGAATTACATAAGACTGGATATAGCAAGCTACAGATATAGCAATTTTGATTTAATGTTCGTGCATAAATAAACTACAGGATTTAAAAGTTTTATATTACTCGACATTAAAATAAATATTTATCATTCCACTAAATTGCCACGAGTTTATAAAGTATTTAATTCAATTCTAATACAGATGAAATGTACGATGAAAACCGTAACTTTCACTAGAAATGAACAATGATCGTTTGTTGTGTTGACGGCTAACATCGACACGCTAGGGTGATGATGGCGCATTCCAATACTACAGTTCACATTCAACATTCACTGCAAATGACGCTCGTGCTCGCTACATTTACTATTATTTCGGAGTGCATTTTTTATTAGCCTTAAATAGGGCCCACTTGTGTGCTTAGTGCGAGATTTTTAAAGTTCTCGATACATAGTGCAAAAGTTAATTCAAAGTATGCTGATGTAACAGCGCCCCTAGCGGCAAACTTAGGCAAACGTTCCAACTATGTATATACAAATTTGAGTTAACTTTTACGCTATCGAGAACGTTAAAAACTCACACTAAGCACTCAGATGTTCGTTCCGAAGTAACACGGGTCGATACAAACGTACGTATTCCCGTTTCCTCTATTGCTAGTGGTGACACTAGAGCAAAATTTATATCACACGAACTGTATCGTATCTGTACAGTTGTTATGTGTTCTTTTTTTCCATTCATTGTAATAACTGTGAATATTCTGAATTTTATTTTGCAGTTTTCACAAAAAGATATTCTAGAAGGAAAACACAAAACACGGAACTAGTTGAATTTTTATTTCAAATTAAAATCCATTTGGTTGAGGAAACAGGAATACTGGTAGGTAATTTACTTTGGTGCTCTATTGAGGAGCTATTGAATAGACATTGTAGCAGGTAGCTATCATAGAACAGCATACCCGATTCTGTGGACCGAATGTCGACATCGCCTTAAACACGTCATTACGGATCCTTCCGATCCATTAACGGTGCTTTTAGGTACCCCAAGCATCGGTCACCGTCCTCGCTGAACGCGCCGCTTGCGACGAAGGCATCGACGAGTAAATTAGCTCATAGACACAGCCCACTGAGTTTCTCGCTGGATCTTCTCAGTGGGTCACGTTTCCGATCGGGTAGTAGATTCTGCGAAGCACTGCTCTTGCTAGGGTCAGTGTTAGCAACACTCCGGTTTGAGCCCCGTGAGCTCACTTACACGTAAAGGAGAAGCTGAAATAGCCTCTCAAGACTATCAGCATAGGTAGGAATAAAGAAAAAGAAAACAAAACATTTGACAGACACCTGAATTTCACTAGATAAGTTTTCATGTGATATATAAACTTTGAACTAACATTTCGGCCGGCGTTTACACGCTTGGTGGAAGATCTTCACTTTGTCCCAAAATGGCCTTAGAATGTTTTAAAGGCCTATTCTTATTTTTTCACTCCAGCATTTCGTCTTAAGCGGTTACCGACAAAGCTGGCGAATGTTGTTACCCACTTGGAAACATTCGAGGTAGACTATATTGAGCTAATGCGTACCTTACCTTTCAGAGCTGAACGCATTATTCATATGCAACAGGTACCAGTCCATCAGACATTATAAACACAACACAAATATCGCGTTTTTTAAAAATGTTGTTCACATTCACATCAAAAATAATTAAAGTCACCACAAAAGTTGTACTTGCGCAATCGAATCTAATAATTATTATACTATATTAATAAAAACAAAATGGTATAAAGTTATTTTTAGGTTTCCGTCTAAAAAAACCATGTCAAAAACCCGTATCAACTGAATACACAGTGCGTTCACAATAAAAAGTTTCCATTAAAGTTATTTTTGAGCACAGCACACCGATCACATAACGATGTTAATTGAGTAACAAAAATCTGAATATTATGTTAATTACACCTATGCGCCATAATTATGTACCTGGTGGTACACTTAGAAAAAAAAAACAATCCGCAAGGTAATACTGGTCATTAGTGATGATGTGAATAACAATGTGTAGTTAAAGTTATGGAGCAGCAAACATGAAATAATTTAGAATATTCGAGATCATTTTTATTATGTAACATTAAATAACAACAAGTTAATCATTAAATATATTTTTGACTGACCCGGCGGCACATTAGTTAACGCCTCTGACTGTTGAGCCGGGGGACGCGGGTTCGATTACTACAACGGACCAATATTCGTGTGACAAAACAGGTTTGTTTGTTCTGTGTTTGGGTAATTTCAACATATGTATATAATTATACCAGTATCTGTTATTTATTTATTCAACGTTCTAATTTTAGGCTAATTGTCAATGTTTAGTTGGACTTTATTGATAGGTTATCATTGCGGGTACAGACTCACCTCGCAGATAGAGTGTATAGTTCCTCTCCGTTTAGCGTTTATAGCATCGAATTCCGGATGTAAGGTGCCTCCTCTACAAATAGAATGAATTGTGCCCCGCCTCTGTACGTAACGGTTGAACAAGATCATTTCTATGCTACGAATCTTTTCTACTACCCTGCGCGCTATGCTGCGTATAAAACGGAACATTTTGCCTCCTTTGATTCACTTATTTGTCTTAACCGGACAAAGTAAGCGGCGCGACTGTCGAGGGCGCTGTTTACGGTTGTATTCCGACGAGGGCCATGTTGCCTTATTTATAATTCACTATTGCACTATTATAATGAACGATTATTTCCCGGTAAACGACATTATGCGAACGTGTTTGGTCTAGTCAAGTAGACGAAGCCACAGCGTGCGATCGACTGCCGGAGCGGCTTCTTCGATTTTCAAAGAAACATAAAATTTATCTTATCATCCGTCACTTGCTTCAGTTATTATCAAATTACCTGCTAACTTAACTAAGCCGGTAATAAAGTTTTATGATTTAAATTAATTGTGGTCTTCGATTATGTTCAACGCGATAATGGCAAAATACTGATACATACAACGTGTATTCACGAAAAGGCGGTAGATAAGTAAAACGCAATGTAATACAATTAACGATCGCCTGACGCGCGCGTCCGACCGTCTCGTACGAGCATGTGCAGGCTCCTGAGATTAAACACGGCTCTTATCCAGTCAGTTTTGTTTGTATTACATTGCTGATTCACATTCAAAATTCAATATAAAGTTACAAACTATTATGATTTTATTCACAAAGAGTTACCACTAGAGTTCTATAATTTTTGGTCTTTATGGTGAGGCTTGGGGGAGACCTATGTCCAGCATTGGACGTCTGTGGGCTGATAAGAATAAGAAGAAGTTATAAGGAGACCAGCAAAATATGTTATTCATATAATAAACGAATAAGACTGAGTATCTTTATCGTTAGCTAAGCCTAAGCTAGGTTAAGAAGCTAAGTAATTGAATATTAAGAATATATTATATGTTTTAAATTTCAGTTTATTTAACTGCCGTTTTGTACCGCCTGTGCCTCGGGAGTGGTACAATCCTATATAAATATAATTTTATATCAATGCATAACATCACCTGTTACTTTAGAAGGCCTTATGCAAAAGTTGTCCAACGTAAAGTTTGTGTGTACAGGTTTTATTTAATCATAACAATTAAATAAATTTAATGACATTGTAAAATAAATTATCAGCCAATATCACATACATATAATCAAAGATTATTAAATGGTTAAAAAAATATACTAATGTTACATTAACAGTAGTAGAGAGTAAAAAAAACGAATGTTTACCGTTTTGTAGTTTTAATAATTTGAAAAGCTAAAAATAACGTTTATTCACAAACCACGAATCTAGTTCAATAGGTGAAATGTTACGCCGCCGCGCCGAAATGAAGATCAAATATTCATTGTGACATATTTCCTTCTTTTTTTTTTCAAAAACAAGACTCGATTCAATACTAAATTATTTTCACATCGACTGTAAGCCATTTTTCGCGTACCTAATTATGAACGTAATTAAATAAATAGCTCTCTTTGACTTTGTAATTATTATTTTTTTAATTTAAGTACGCATTTGTTTTCATAAACAATCTTATGTTATCGGACGTCGTAACCACAGCCGATAAGAAAGAAATATCCTTTAATGAAAACATTTGTAATATATATTA